ATTTCAACAACTGGCCTGATTGATCAACATAAAATTTTTAAAGCCATTTTCCTTCAGTTCACTCTGGCCACTGTACACTACAAAAAATAGGCATATAAAAATAAGTTGAAACATATTAGATCAGGGCTTTCAACTAAATTACCGCAGGGGCCACAGTCACTGCAGGCCAACAGCTCAGGGGCCGAACACCCAGCAATACAGTCATTATGTAAATAAACCAAATATTACATTGATTTGTTATCTTTGAATTTGTAAAATTTGCTGCATTTAGTAATGAATACAACATACAGAACCCAAAATAATAAAAGTAGTGATATTAAACTAATATCAAAATCAAAAATAACACATTATTCCTTCTAACACAAATATTATTTTGACATCTCTGACTTGCCACACATTTAAAGCAGTTTTATTTTTACTCATCTTAATTTTTATTTTCAACTGCTTCCACTTTTAACTGTCTTGGGTGTTCACTGAAACAGTGTTTAGCAGCTTTTAGCCAAGATTCTGACGTCCTTGTAGTTATGGCACATCTATGTCTAACTAAAAGAACTAGAAGTAATTAAAGTTTGAAAACTGGCTCCTAACGGTACACATTCAATTTTTTCCAATTTTTTTTTTTAAAATATTAATCTGAAGCTCCTGTTGATTAGGTGCCACAGCTGTCTTGTATTTGAATTGTCTCTTTGGCTTTTGCTTCAAAGTCTCAAAAATTAATGCATTCTGCAAAAGTGTAAATTCTCCAATTTAGTTTCTTTTTTGTTTGCATTTTGTAACATCTTGCAGCATGCTGTCGTACCGCTCAGTGGACATTAGGAAGTCTCTCCAGCTGGAGGAGCTGTTGGCCAGGGAACAGCTGGAGTACACCATCGAAGAGGAGGTGGCCAAGCAGACCATACGCATGTGGCTCAAGAAATGCCTCAAACGCATCCGGGCGGTTCGTCTCAGCAGAAAACTCACTGCCGTGCTCGGCTTTGYTTATAGGATACAAACGTGTGTGTTCTCTGATCTTGTATGTGACTGGCTGCCTGTGTGTGTGTGTGTGCACTTACAGAAGCAGCAGCAGTCTTGCAGCATCATTCACAGCCTGAGAGAGAGCCAGCAGCAGGAGCTGAGCCGCTTCCTCAACCCTCCCAGCATAGAAACGACAGTGCCAAGTGAAGACCACAATACTAACAATGCAGACAACCCTTCTCAGCCTGAGGTAAAGCCCCACATCTAAACCACCACAGCCCCAGCAAACTCACACATGCTCACAGCTTGATGTCACGCAAGCACATCATATAATCTGCAGGTATGCTCTTGCACTGGTGCAACAAAGGATATCTCCTCTTTGTTTAGATGAGTGGTCTCCAGCAGCTCCTGAGCCCCACGTTGTCAGACAGAGGCGGCTACAGGCAGGACTCCACAGACCTGGGGAGACCGCAGAGGAAGCTGGGACAGTGGCGGCTGCCTGCAGGTGTGTGTGCTTCTGTAGTCTGCCTTTTATGAGCGTCGTGTGTTTTTAGACAAGGCAACTAAAACTGGAACAAAGCTTCACTTTTTCTCTTATGTGGAAAAGAAGTCAGGCATGATTTGTAGTCTGCATAACAGAGGTTGAGATTTGTTTATTGAAACAAGTCAGTAAAAAAACAAACTCTTACTACCTAATGTGATGTTAATCTCCTGCTGCTGTTAAAATGGATGAATAMAAACACAAAAGATATTAACAGAATCTGTTTATAGTTCTTTGATTTTACCATTYCAAAATAAAACAAGAAAAAATGAATAATCTTGTGTTTTTCTTTTTTGTTTTCTGTTACAACTAAATTAGACAAACGACAATTGCAGAACAATACATTTTTTTAGTGGTTAAAACAAAGACGAGCTTTATATTTTGTTAGTGCACTATTTGTTGGAACTAAGTTGCACTAAGTTGGAAATCACCGCCTGAACTCTTGGAGCGTTATGTTTCGACTTCTCACCATGGATGTTTCTCTCWTTTAGAGGCAGTTGACGCATCTCATTGAGAGCTGATGATCTTACCGTGMACAAAGTTGCTTTAATATACCAAGTTATGCAGAATGGAGTGGAAGTGCAGCCATTACCGAAATGTTTAGGAATGGTTTCCCTTTTTAAGGGCTCGACACACGGGCAGCGACAAACTACAGCGATTAACGGCTGTCATCGCAGCCA